ATGTTTATTTTAAAGCAGGCCTCAGCTTCCATCTTTGCTTGAATTATTAGAATTTAACTTGCAGAGGGTCTAGCACTCCATCACAAAAAATGACAAATATTTGATATTCACATTTCTCCTAGTTCAACAGCAGCAATTCAGCAGAACCTGGTAACACAGCCCAATAATCCATGTTTTTTCTTTTCTTCATCTATTAATGGCAGGATATGAAATACTGATATTTTCTCATAATGGTCTTCCTTCACTGCTTCTTACACATTCACAACCAGGTTGAAGGATTGTTTTGCAGTTTAACTGCATGACACAGATATATGAGTTTCCCAGATATACTAGGTTTCCTGCACAGCTCTGAGCAACCCAAACCTCACATTCTGCACCTGCAAAACAAGGAGCTTATTCTCATCCCTTGCAGTGGTGTTAGCAACGATACAGGAGCTTCTTACATGCTGTCAAGTCCTTCCACCTTTGTAGAATTGCAATGGCCACCATATTTTCCACCTCACTTCAGACACCAAAGAGGTATAATCTGCATGTGGTACCTAGACAGTCAATGCAGAGAAAAAGAGCTTTTAGGGAGTCTCCACTTAGGCCTTCTGTAAGTGTGTTTCTTATCACAATCTATGGAAGGACCTGGGGGAATTACATATCTGCATTAAGCCCTTCAATTATGTACATGAGTGGGGATTGTTTCCTAAATATTCCCAATCTACGGGAAATATTGATCCAAACTCATTCGGGGGACCTAAGCTAATCCAAAAAGAGAAGGAGCACAATATGAACCAGCAACTGCACTTTCAATACTATTTGCACTTCTCTCTCACAAACACATAACTGTGGGCATTGCAACAATAAATCCCAAGAGCTACATTTCTAAATGAACAACCACCAAAAACTAAGTACTAACATACACATCTCTGTAAAACTCCTTGCCTAGACTACATTGATTAATTAGAAGATGTATCCACACAACAAAGTTATGGGATTTACAAGGAGCAGAACAAACTCTAGACACAACAGTGCTTAACTACCTGAAAGTGTTATTTCCACAAATTCTCAAGTAATTTCAGTTCCCTAGGAGCTTCTATTTCTTGTTCCTCACCATGATTTCTGAAATGTGTGCATAAACAATTTGGAAAGCATACTAATTATGGACTATCCTAAATTACAACTCTGATTGCAAAATTTTGTTAGTCCACCTACCTCCTTTCTTACTCTGTAACAGACACTTCCTCTTTTATATAAACTATGCATAAAACAACTGCTGAATTTTAATCACCATGTTAGTAACTGAATCCTAATTACAAGTTTGACATCTATAGAAAAACTACGGCTCTAAAGCTGTGTAGCACATTTTGAGTTTATATCACACTACCAACTCTGCAGGTTTATATAACCTAGGGTTGATTTAATCAGTCACAACAAAAGCAAGCGCAGATAAGGTGACCAGGGACATTCATGTGTGAAAATACCATCACTACGAAGCAAAAACAAAGAACATTTTGAGCCTTCTTCAAAAGTCTATGCATCCTACACAGCTAAGCTTGTGCCTAAGGGCCTGTTGAAATGGTCTGTCACCACTGCTCTCCTCAGTGAATCTTACCTTTCCCTCCTAACGTTAGTGGAGCTCCAACATGTGTCACAGAGGCATTTCATCATAGTTCAGAGAACACATTTTTCCATAAATCTTTTTAAAACCACTAGTAACTTGTCCATCTTGATCACACAGCCCTAGGACATAGTGCTTAGGAATGGTAGTTGGTGTCCCTAGATAGCACTCCAGAACAGCACTCTTCCAACTACATCATCAGTCCCCAACAGAGATTATTTCTGTGGGGTTTTGTTTGTTAATTTTATTTTTGAATCAAATCCAACAGTGCAAGTAGAAAAGCTACCTAACCAAAAAGACATCACATTCTGAGGATAAACAGCTCCAAATGCTCAAGCCACACTAAGAGCATGCCGCTATCCTACTTGACACCTAAACAAGTTCATAGAATCACAGAATGGTTTGGGTTAGAAGGGACCTTAAAGACCATCTCGTTCCAATCCCCCTGACATGGGCAGGGGCACCTTCCACTAGATCAGGATGCTTAAAGCCCTGTCCAACCTGGCCTTGAACCCTGTCAGGGAAGAGACAGCCACAACTTCACTGGGTAAGTAACTTCACTGTGCCAGTGTCTCACCACCCTCACAGTGAATAATTTCTTCCTTATATCTAATCTAAATCTACCCTCTTTCAATTTAGAACCATTATCCCTCATCCTATCCCTACCATCCCTGATAAAGAGTCCCTCCCCAGCTTTTCTGTAGCCCCCTTTAAACACTGGAAAGCCACTATAAGGTCTCCCCGGAGCCTTTTCTTCTCCAGGCTGAACAACCCCAACTCTCTCAGTTTGTCTTCACAGGAGAGGTGCTCCAGCCCCCTGATCATATTCGTGGTCCCTTCTGGACCTGCTCGAGCAGGTCTGTGTTCTTATGCTGGGAGTCCCAGAGCTGGACACAGCACTGCAGGTGGGGTCTCACGAGAGCAGAGCAGAGGGGGAGAATCCCCTCCCATGACCTGCTGGCCACACTTCTCTTGATGCAGCCCAGGACAGGGTTGGCTTTCTGGGCTGTGAGCGCATATTGCTGGCTCACAGGCAGTTTTCCATCCACTGATACCCCCCAAGTCCATCTCCACAGGGCCTCTCAATCCACTCCTCGCCCAGACTGGATGTGTATATGGGATTGCCCCGGACCTTGCACTTGGCCTTATTGAACTTCATGAGGTTTGCACAGGCCCGCTGTTGGCACAGCCCCTTGGCAGCCACATAGCCCGTTGAGACTGTGTGGCCAGCACTGCTAAGGGAACATCTTGCACTGGCCTGGAGTCCACCAAGAAAATTGGAAAACGTAGCTGTGCCAGTGCAACAACAAACAAATATAGCAAGTTTTTTTCCACAAATAACAAGAGCAATAACCCACAGTCATGCCATTGCTGCAATTTCATCAGAGGAAATTCAGTTTTGAACAAAATAAAGGTCCAAGGTTGTTCTGGAACAGAGTGAAAAGCAATGGGAAAATTCCACAGCCCCTACACTCTACAGCAAAACACGTGATCAAAAATAGAGCTTCATTATAAATAAACACCCTCACAGCAGCCTTTTAAATTACAAACCTTAATCACTGTGAGACAGCTGTTCTAAGTGAGACTGGGGTGGGGACTCTTTTAAAGCCACAGTTTTCTTCTAATAAACATGGGAGAATTTTATGGATTATTATCCTTGCTTCCTTCTGTGTACAACAAAGCAGCCTCCACTCCTACTCTCCATCTAGTTAAAATGCAGATAATTTCAGTTTATCTCACTATTGCTTTTCAAAGTCAGGAGGAAACGCCCAGTGGAGAGCAGCACTAATCAACAATCAAGAATGCAGGAACGTTGACCAATCGACTATTTACAGAGCAAACAGGACATTCCCAGGACCAAGGCAGACTTGCTCAGTGTCAAGCATAGGTTTTTCTCCTTGTAAAGATCTGGGGGTGGAAAAAAAAAAAAAAAAAAAGTGTCACTCTGCTGAGACTTTTCTCCGTGATAATATGTTCAGATGAGTCCTCCAACCTATTATTCATGGACTTTCAGGCTACCTTCGATGCAGTTTAGAATCGATTGCCTCACTGAGCCAGGCCATTCATAAAATTAGTCCTTTTCTACACTATAACACAGGATGCAGTTGTAACCTCTACAAAGTTCTGTTTGTATAAATAACCATTTATAATTAGATATTCCCTTGATACAACTTAAATTCTTAAACCTTCAATTTGGAGATGACTTACATCAGAAGTGATAAAATATTCTAAGAAGCTTTCTCACATCACTCTATGATACATACACACTCCCATTCAAACAGTGCATACTCTTAAGACTGAAAATACTGAACAGCAATAGAAGAAACCCACAACCAGGGCATTCTTAAAAACATTTTCAACAACTGGACTGCAGTGCATAGCAATGGTTTCACTGCCATCTGGCTGCATTCATAAAATGTAACATAGCAAGCAGATAATCACATACAGTTTGATCTTTTTTTTAAAAAAAGTCAAAGAATGATTGTTTGAAAAAATTTAGATTAGCAAACAGAACTCCAAGATTGTGTAGTTATTCTGCACAGAACAAAATACACCCATCAGAGTAGTCGAGGACAAGTTTTGCAACCCTGAATCCGAAAGGTACTCTTGCCAGCCCACAGCACAGAGAACTAGGGGGGAACTTGTTTAAGTTTTCCGTAGATGGGATGGCAAAATAGGGCAGTGGACATCAAAATCAAAGATGGTGAAATCATAAAAGCATTCTGCTCTGAGAACAAAACAGGCGGAGCAGATAGGCTTTCAAATCTACAGCCTCGACAAGGAGGAGAAGCAGTTGTTTTCCTTCCACAAGGCAAACGCTTCCACCATTGCCTGGCGATTTCTGAAGGAGGGATACAAGCTATTTGCAGAAGGAGGCGAGGCAGGACTGCCGGTGCGCTACACGTATGAGCAGCCGTGCCTGCCGTGAGACTTCGGAATGGGGCGGCGGCCCCTCCGAGGGCCCCGGTCCCAGGCGAGGGCGCCGCCGGGCCAGCTCCCCGTCCCGGCACGGTGCCGGGGCACGCGGTGGGCCCTGGCTCCGCCCGCCGCCGGCCGTGCAGCCGCAATCGCGTCCCCCGGCAACGCCGAGCGCCCGGCGGGGTCCGGCCACCCCTCCCCGGCACGGCCACCGCCGTGTCCCGCGGCGCCGGGCCGCTGGCCGAGGGGCTGCGCCGCGGCGCACGGCAGGTAGACCCCGGGCAGGGGGAGAAGGGGACGCCGCCGGCTTCCGCCCTATGAGCCGCCTGGTTCCCCCGAACAGCAGCGGGGAGCGCCGGGCGGCCTGACGGCGGCACGCTCCCCTCACGGAGGCGGCGCCATGCTGGCCTGGCGCCTCAGGCGGCTGCTGCACCCCCGCGGGCGCAGTAAGGGGGCGGCGGAGGCGGGGTGCCGGGGGAGCCACACTGCCCAGCTGCGCTGCGGCCCTGCGCTGCAGCCGGCCCGACCCCTCGGGGTCCGCCCGGCCGCCATCAGAGGGGCTACGGGGCGCCGCGACCGGCGAGTCCCGCCCCACACTACGGGGCGAGAACCGGCGCCGCGGGGGGCCCCGCTGCATGTGCCCGGGGGAGCCGGGCGAGGCCATTCCCACCGGCGAGGGGAGCCGGGGGTGCTTCCGCGCAGCGAGAGGCCGGGGTTGGAGTGATTTCTACCCCTCCCCCTCCGTTTCCGCCTTCAGTGGGCCGTGCCGGCTTTCGCGGGCTTTTCTCTCTTCCCCTCACAGCCGGTCTCTCTCGCCCTCTCATCCCCGCTCAGCGATGCCTTCTTCTGCGGCCGTCCTGCAGTCGTCCCCCAGTAAGAGGCAGAGGGACTCGGTGCCCGGGGAGCCCACCGCACGGCTCCGCTTCGCTAAGCTATCCAAGAACGCCTCCACCCCCTCCAGGGGCTCTGCTCGGGCTGCGGGCTACGATCTATACAGGTGAGGGTACCCCACCCAGAGGAGGAGCCCACGCCACGCCCCGATCTGTCCTGACCCTTGCCTCGGGGATCCGGCGGTGAGAGGGCCGTTGTGAGGCAGGTCCTCTTGCTGGGTAAGCCCCCGGAGAGGCTCACCAGCCCGGCAGAGGAGGAGGCCAGAGCTGGCCTGTTCGTTTGCTGCCTTGCTCCTCCATCCCTCTCCCTTTCCAGAGATCTGTGGTCCAGTCACGCTGCAGCACCGATTTCATCAAGTAGCAATTCAGCTGCTTGCTAAAAGTCAGGATTGACATATCAGCCTGAGTTGCTGTTGGCACCGGCATTGACTAGGTGCCTTACTATTCAAAGAACAAAATGGTAGTGCATGTGGGCCCTCTGTCCACGCTTACGCTTTTCTGCTTTCCTCATTGTTGTTAGGTGCTGCCTGCCAAATGAAGTTGTGGCAGTTTGATAATGCTCCTAACTGGAAACCATGTGGGTTGCTGTGCAGACTTAGGGTTTGGTTTGCTTGAATGATAATAACCATTGTTCAAAGGTTTTCACTATGTTAAAGAATATCTGCAGCTGCGCTTGTGGTTGTTTGCATAGTGCTTCTGTGATTGAATACAATCGCTAGTTATATCTGAACTCCCCTGCGACCTCTTCTATCTTCCTTTCTTTTGTATTAATCAGCCTTATTCCTTCACCTGTCTGACTTCTGTAATCTTCCTTCACCTATCTGACTTTCTTCCTGAAGCTTTGCTTCACCACATTTGACACTTTTCCTTTGTATTTATTTTGTCTTACCAGGTTTAGTTTTTTTTGTTCTTGTTCCTATGATGCACTGTACACCTGGAAAAAGTCCATTTCATAAAAAACCTGTCAGTGCTTCCCAGTGTTTAAAAAAATAAAAATCAGTCTTTTGTCAAGACCAGGATATGCTTGCCTTAAACAAGTAGAACAGTCTCACTGTGGTATTGTTATCACTGCCTTTCATTAAGTCTCCAGTTCGGTAGCTTCAGAAAGGTCTTAAAATCTCTCATTTGCAGATCTCAACAGAATCATGTGAATTGTGAACTTATGACTTGCTCAGAAAAAAAACCACTGTTAACTTCATAGACTATTATGTTGGATTACAGCTAGTTTATCTGCTGTAGAAAGCTTAATCAGAAGAGTGTATTATCCTTAAAATTCTGCTTTTGCACAAAAATTGCACAACTCCATTCACCTAATGGTTAATTTAAAGTTAAACGTTTTGTCTATCTTGCCAGTTAAAAAACATTTAAAACTAGCAATCTTAAGACTATGCTGTTCAAATCTGACACTACTGAAATCTTAAGGTAGCACCATCAAAGTGGGACTTCCTTGTTTTAGAATATGCACTTGATTTTACAAATCTCTAAATATTTCTTATATAAATTCCATGGTATAAACTCCCAGCAAGAATAATTCTGGGTAATTTTGTACCTTGAGCTACAGAGAAGTAAATTTTCAAAATATTCTATATAAAATGGTGTTTCTTACTTTAACGTAGTGCGTATGACTGTGTGATACCACCCATGGAAAAGGCTGTAGTGAAAACAGACATTCAAATTGAACTTCCTTCTGGATGCTATGGCCGAGTAGGTAAGTAAACAGGCTATAAAAAGGCTGCAGTCATTGTAGAACAGGTTTGACTCAATCTTCACATTTAGATTCTGCCTAACACTTTCAGAATTGGTCTACACCAAAAAAAAATAAAAAAAAAGGCGGCGCATGGCTGTGTGATTTATTAAGCCTTGTAATAGACATTTCTTGTCAAATATATTTGGTGTATGTCAAATAACAAAAAGATGATTACCAAAATTTTTATAATTACATACGACTTTGTAGGCTATGCAATAGTTCATTATTTCTATGCATTTCCAGAATTTGAATGACAAAGACCAATAGGTAATGGACATACAGAAAACACAACCCTAGATGTTTAAATATTAACCCTGAGGTAAGATTACTAGTGTAGTAGAATTTGACTACTATTTGTGACAGAATACTTGAGAGAACCTGTACAAGATACTTTGTTATATTTTGTGCATTCTTTTTCTGAATTATGTATAAATTCCTAAAGTAAAAAAAACAATAGCAACTCCACTGGAAGAGTGTGATCAGAGTTTGCTGTGTCCTTTCATCTAAAAGGAGAATGCTTGTGCATTTCTCTTATCCCAGACAAAATTTGGAAGAGTAACATTTAGCACCTCAAAGTAGGCTAAGGTAAGTAAAAAAAAAAAAAAAAAAAAAAAACAACAAAAACCAAATAACCCTACAGGTCATTTAATTTTTCTGTGTATAATATTTCTTAGTAAACTGCTTGCTAAATACTGTTTTCCATCGTAACTTGAATGGATTGACCTCATAGTATTTTGAGATTATTCCAAACCAGTGATGGCCACCAAAAATAAACCAAGATTAGGTAGTCTGCTCCAGCCGCCTTGGAGAAACCTACTCTGCAATTGGTGGTCTAAACAAAGATATGTTTATATCGCTTAAAGATTGCAGTGTTATTGTAGCCTATAGCAGCTGTTATTTGTTTAATATGTACATTAACACTTACAGTAGTTCCTGTAAAATCATGTTTATTTTAGGAAAAACTGTGGAAACAGTTCTTGCTGCCATGACTCTGCAAACACACTATGTAACCTATAAATATTGTGTAAGAGTTTTAAAAGAAATAAATTATACTTACAAAAAACCTCTTGTTTTCTAGCACCACGTTCTGGTTTAGCTGCAAAGCACTTCATAGATGTTGGTGGTAAGATTTTTGTTCTTTTTACTAAGACTTTGAAAATAATTAGATTTTTTAAAATTTTTAGATTAGGAAGTGCCTTAATTTCACATTGAAATATGTGTAAATAAATAATGCTAGTTTCATTGGTAGTCTGGCAAAAAGAGGTACCTGGGTAGTATCTCAGAGAGCCAGTGCCTCCTAATTATTTTAAAACTTGATGAATTTTAAAAATATTACTGATTTAAATGGTACTGATTGTACTTCTGTGGGCAATAGAAGTTATTTTTTGGTTTAGGCTTTAAAGGTGACTTTTTACATTCTGCTTTTCCCATTTTGACTAAATGTGTGATTCTTTTCAGTCTAGTGTAAGATCTGAATGAATTATATAAATTACATACAGATGTTCTTTTTGCAGACAATATAAAGGTATTAATGAATGATAGAAAGCTCTGGAATACACCATTACTGTGGGTGTAATTGCTTATTAGGATGAAAAGAGCTTTAGTTTACTCCTACTTATGAAAATGTAGCAAGTTATGTAAAGCAAATGAAATTTAAACTCAGCTTTTTACATTAATTGACTTAAAAATTGAAAGCCTTCTGAAACAGAAATAAAGCTCAAATCCTACTTTCTACAGTTTTTTTTTTTTTGTTCAGTACTGGCAACAGATCTGTTTTGAACAACAGGGTGTTTTCTTTAAATATTTTGAGCTTTTATTTAATCTTGATTAGAAATTCACAGATATCTCTTAAAAAATATTATTATAGGCATATCTATAATCAGAAGCCTTCCTGAAAGCCTCACTGTCCTTTTACCATATTCCTATAATTGCCATACAAAGTAAATTATGTTGAAAATTCAATTCCAGTTTTGCAGTGGGGCTGATCAGAGCACAGCCAGATTCTCTAAGTATTGTATTATAAAATGGCATCAACGTTGCACAGAAGTTCTCACAACTAAGGTTATTGTGGAGTTATTCTGATGAACACACCTATAACTGCAGCAATTTAACTAGCACTAAATGCATTTTACATTGTTCTAATTGTACAGGAATATAGTTCTAGGTTAGATAAAATGTTTTCTGCTTCCTAAAATCATAAGGAGTTGGTTTTGCTGGCAATAGATTGTAGTAAAGGAACCAAAACCTACGTTTCTGATGTAGTGACATAAAGAAGATACAACTAATGGGTATCTTCCAAAGTACTGGGTGTCCAAGAGAGCGCATTTTTTGTGAGCATATTATAATTTGAGTCATAATGGAAGTTGACAAGAAAAGTGTGCTGAAAAGTTGAGGCATTTTCATCTTTGCTGGATTTTGCTGTTTTTTTGTTGTTCTGTTGTTTGGGTTGGGATTTTACCTGCCCCCCACCCCCCAGTGTTAAACAAGAGCAACTGCTTAAACCAGTGGTACTCAGCCTTTAGTTGCTTATGGACTTGGCTCTAGAGGTGAGGAAGGGTGACTCTAGGCATCTTTCTCTTTCTGATGCCAAGCCAGCCAGAAAGCAAAGCAATTCCCAGTATAATTTAAAGCTGCTGCAGAACTACTTTGTTCTGTCTGCTTTATGGCATATCAGTCTGGCTGTGCCCATGGTACAGTTGTGATATCACAGGTTAAAGGGGAGCATCTTTGCTGGCTTAGTGTTGTTCAGGCTTTGTCTTAAATAAGACGCAATTATTGGATGTTTGTTACACTAAGGTTTTTTAAGTGTTGCTGGGTAACATACAAAAGAGCACTAAGATGGGAATCAAAGTCTCTCTACACCCCTATGACTCTCTGTAGTATCCATGGTCCACTATCTACTATGGTGTGGTTTTTTAAAGTAACACTTGCTAAAACAATTTGTTTATATGAAAAAATACATATACTCTGTAACAGTCTTTTCAATCTGAAAGTTAAACTAGGAAATACTAGAAGGCAACCAGAAGTGCTTAGCAGGATGACCTATGTTCAGATTTTAAAACAGCTGACACCTGACAAACCATGAGTAAAAACTATTACTGATAGTTAGTAGAGAACTTAAAAAAAACCCCAAAACCAAAAACCAAAAACACAACACAAAAAAACCCACAACAAACAAACAAAAAAACACCAAACAAAACCAAAACAATTGTTACATAATTTTAACTTGTCCTGGAGAAGTACTTTTGTAACAATGAGGGCATTATCCATTTAGTTAAATATACTTTTAAAAACATATACTTTGAATATAGAAAAAAATACATTGCCAGAAGTCGTAAGGGTCAGGGAGTAAAATTGGGATTGTGCGAGAATTATGTTCAGAATTCACATCTGCTAGGTGTGGATGCTTTCCCAACAAGTGACGTGCCAAACTTCTGACAGAGTAAGACAGAATGTCAGACTGCCATTTAAATAGAATTAGTAATCTGTAGTAATCAGTTTTGAGTATTGTATTATATCAGAGAAAAATACTGTATTATAACAAATAAAACTAGCCCTCGTTATGTTAAATTAGCAAATTCCATTATCAATCTCTAATGCATAGCAGTATCTATCCCAGCATATGGTCTCGAAAAATGTTTTCTTAGCTGTACAGAAACACCTGAGAATGGTTTGTCAAATTAAAAATTTATCCAAAGAACTAATGATCTTTTCATATGCATTCATGAGCATATATACATAATTTCATGTGCCAGATATGAATTTTGTCTTTCAGCTCTCCAGCTGATTGACTCCTGAACAAATACGCCAAATTAATGGGCAAAACTTGAGTGATGCTTAAAATTGCTTGTGCTGCGATTACAAGTTTGCTGAATCTCTCATTGTAACACATGCATGTAGCATGGACTCCATGTCCACTATTGTATAAAACAAAGCAAGTTAATTGTGTAGCACTAGCTAAAACTTTGTGTCACCCCTGGTTTAGGAATTATGTAAGGGCTCTAGATTTCCTGGTATTTTAAAAAAGGGATAAGGAATCATACTTTGCTAGAAGTAAGAAGGCAAAACTTTCATGTTATCGTTTTATAGTTCAGGTTTTTATTGAATTGCAAAATTGAACTGTAGTAGAAATTGTGCAAGAAAGCTCTGTGATGACCAATGTAAGTGATGTACTGTGATTTTCAATTTAACTGCTTCATAGTTGACTTTCTGAAAGCTGGTCTAACCTAAACCAAATAAACAGTAGGCAACCTGTGCATGTAGCTTTGGTACATCAAGCATCAAGCTCTCTGAATCAAGTGAACACTACGTTGAAGAATTTTTTAAATTTTTTTTTTATTCTGGAAAACATTCATGCACAGCAACTACTGTTTTGTTCACTGTTGCTTTTGGTAGTGCTCTGTAATTGGGGTCCCTTCAAGAAGTTTCGTGTGGTTAAATACCAGTGAGTTAATTTGAGAACTGCATGTTTTTCTGAATTTTTGGAACTCAGGAGATACTCCCAGTGTTACTAGCACCTTAATTAGGAAGCTGTTCAGAAATGTGATTGGATTAACCCATAACATTATAAGGGAAAGAGAGCTGTATAAATACCTTTTTCACACTAGAACTAGTGCAGAGATTGTACAGTATCTGTTGACCCTATATACTGCAGTATTTTCATACAACTGAAGAAACTAAAAAAAACCCCTCAGTTTTCTATTCCTAAGCGAGTATGATGTGGTTCAACATTAAAACTTCAAGGTATAGTCACGCTACAATTTCCTCTGGTGTTTATGATCTCTAAAGGTAGTACTTTGTATGTATAAATCTGTGAACGTCTTGGAATGACATGTAATTTTAGTATTTGACTTATTTATGCAAGTAGACTTCAAGATATATACTTACGCTCACAAGGAAGCCCAAACTCCATTTTTTCTACTGGAAATATGCTTCCTGTATCTGAGAGGAAAACCCCAAATCAGCAGAATATGATTACTTAATGTGTATTGGTAGATAATCTCCTGAACTATGTAGTTAGAGTTATATAAGAGCAAGTTTGTTTTAAAGTATTTACACTTGAATGTAGCTGAATGACAGTCAATTCCCTTAAAGCTTTAGTTCTATTTGGATCTGTGCAACTTCATAGCTCTCAGATAAAATGTTAGAGTTAAAAACATATTCCTGCTTGACACTCGGAACAGCTGAAGTTAGCAGAACAAATGGAGCCTAAATTTGGTCCAGCTGTCTTTATTTCAGATAGGGTGTTACAACTAAAATTAGTAGTACAATGTTAAAACACTGCTTGATATGTGATGATGTTTTTCAGTTCTTTTTGCAAGATGGATGAGCATTTTTAGCTATTTCAGTATTTTCATATATACTTTTTAATTGTGCATGAGTAGTATAAAGGATGTCAGCATGAGATACTGTAATCATCTACTCATCTATTGTATTGACAACATTTACTAACTGGATGTCCCTCTTAATTCTTTCTTACGACAGCTGGTGTTATTGATGAGGATTATAGGGGAAATGTTGGTGTGGTACTCTTCAACTTTGGCAAGGAGACTTTTGAAGGTAGGTGTTAAGCTTGGCAGAGCCTGTTTACAGCCACCTGACTGGAAATGAGAAACTAATTTTTCTTTAAAAGACTGTGAAGAGGTAGAATTAGCTGAGAACATTTTTCTTCTTACAATTCAGAAAAATGTGAAAACTTAATGTCCTGTGGAGGAAACATGAAAAGATTCCATTCCTAGCAAATTACATAGGATGCAAAAAAAACCCACCCAAAAACACACAAAAACCACCACACCAAACCAAAGAAAACCTACTTAGCTCAGCTTTAGATTCATGAGCTGTTCTGAAGTGCAACTTTGTATTAAATTTCTTTCTTGCTCCACAAAAAAAAAAAAAGAAAAAAAAAAAAAATTTAGCTGAGCAGTATTTGAGATAAAAATTTCTCCAGGATCCTGGGAAACATTAGTAATAAAGATACAATTTTCCCTTTAATCATGCTGTCTTTCTGCAAACAGTCAGTTTTAAGCCGCAGGGCCCAGTTACAATATTGCCAGTGGTTTCTCCCTCTTCTCTGCAGCTTCACAACACAAGCTTATGAGGGAAGTTCTGTGAACCAGATGGGGGACTAATCAGAAATTTTTCTTTTGGTTTTTCCTCCCCCTGAAGCCCTGCAAAGAAATCAGTTCCTATCTCTAGTTCACAAAAGGAGCCACCATATACATACAGCTGTCTCTCTGTCTCTGCAGTATTTATGCATAATGACACTTAAGACGCCATAGTATGGCAGCAAGAATGAAGGGAGATGCCTTGAGCTGGTGTTGCTGCTGAAACTTCACCTTAAAAAGACTAAGCACAAGTTTATCTTAGCCTGCATTTTTCTGGGACTATTAACATCTACTTAACTAAGTTTGAAACAAGTGTTTAGGCTCTAGTACATTCTGATACTATTGAAAGGGAATTCTCTAAACTTGCTGTTGATTGTTTACTTTTCTGAATGCACTAATAATATTTGAACTTCATTGCAGTTAAAAAAGGGGATAGGATTGCCCAGCTCATCTGTGAACGCATTTGCTACCCTGAGCTAGAAGAAGTTCAAGTAAGTTGCCAAAAGGAAATATTTCTTCTATTTTCAATAATTAATAATTTAAGATGGTTATATATAAACCTGAAATTTATCATATAGATAAATACTTTGCTTTAAAACTACTTTCAGTGTTAAAACTGCATAGTAGTATTGCTACCTGAATAAAAATCTTGATGCTTTGCATGCATTTACATGGATTTTTTTTTTTGGTAGTTTTCAGAGTTAACAGGTACTTGAGACTCCAGTATGTAATAGAAACAGTTATCTCACAATGTAGGATTTGTTTAAACTTGTACGAAAGGTATTCTAAAATGTCTCTTACAATTTTTTTGTTTTAGTTTCTCAATTTTAGCTACTCATACAAGTAAATGTACCTTCCTCTACGATAGACAGTATCTGTTGTATAGAAACAAAATTCAAGTTACAATACTAAACCAACTTACCCTAATTGATGTTTTTCAGGCTTTAGATGATACAGAACGTGGCGGAGATGGCTTTGGTTCTACTGGAAAGAACTGAAAATTATTTGAATATGTGTTCTATATATTTTTTTTGTTATGCTATTTCTAAATTTTCATTTGAATTAGAAGTGGAATTTTGGAGTACATAAGAATTTCAGGTTTTATTCAGACTTCTCTGTATCTGTCCTCCTGTATTTTTACAGGCAGTGAATTCATCTGCATTAGGGGGAGATGTGCGTGACTGACTTGATTGATGAGTTGATGGATTATTTTTCCTTTTTAGATGTTTGGTCCTCAGTAATAAGAACTCATTGTTTGTCCTGATTATACTCTAATAAATTTTAAAAACCTTAATTATTTGATTTTATTTTACTTAAACTGGAACGGCTGATTGTTCCCTTGCCAGTTTGTGTTAATATTCTGAAAGCTATCTTCCATGTAGCTCAGTATTTCATGCTGAGAGCCTATTTCCTACAAAATCAGAGGTAATACAGGTGTCAAATATGACTTACCACTCTGACCCCTAAATCAGAATAAGGCAAAGATAAATTTAATATTGCATCTTTTACAACCTGTCAAAATACTTGTGTTTCTGTTCAAAGCTGAAGTTCTGTCTTTGATCCTTAGCTGACCCTCAAACAGTTGATTTTTCAGCTCTATTAACAGGCACTACAATGTTTGAGCTAAATAATATAACAACTCATCTGGAAATAACTTCTATATAATAAATAAATGCTGTGAAATATGCTGTTGAAATATTTGTTGACAAATTCATTAATAAGTTACTGTATAGAAGAAAGATTCTAAATTACTGAGGCAGTGCACAAATTGTTTTTTTCAGTTCTGTTTTGACCAGTTAACCTAGAACTCTTTGGAATCTGTCCCAAACCTGATTATTTAAGTGTTGGAATCTCTTAAATGACTCAAAAAAACCTTTTAGGTGAAAAAACATGCACACAAGAGAAGGGACAATAGGAAAGAATCTTGAGTATTTTGCCACCTTACAGAAAATTATTAGAAAAAGCTATGAGGCTCTCAAACATGATTTTTTTTTTTCCCTGCAGCTGTCTCTATTCTCTTTTTCCATTTTCTTAGCTGAAAGGTCACAGGTATGAAACGCTGTGCTTTAAGTAGTGCTTCAGCAGTGGAAAAGTAGGCCCTTCTGTAGGCTAAGGTGTTCATACCATTCTTCTTCTTCGTAGTCTCAGATCACAGTAATCCTGTTGGTATTAGTTTTATGTCCTTGTCTAGGACTAACCATTTCCAGTGAAGTAGGCCCAAAATATTGCACATTTTATACATTTTACCCCTGGCTTCCCCAAGGAGCTGGAAAATAGTGTAATATGACAGCATTCTGATTCCTTTAACCATAGGATAGTCATCACGTTGACTTTGCAGTGCTGAAGCAGTAAGTACATTCATCTTTGACTGGGGTAGATGTCTTTCCCTCCATGTGCATTTTTTGCATATCAGGTGTTTTTGTTCTTTTTTCCTCCTTACACTCATCACAACACTGTACTTACCTCTGTACACCAGGCCTTCATAAGCAGGCTTGCCATGCAAAAGCCTATTGTAGGCAAGCAGCACGTCATACCAACGAAGTTTTAAATGAATTGGAAAAGTTGGTCTTGACGCTAAATTGCTTCTGTTCTATAACCTGCCAAACAGGAACTTCAATTACCAAAGGCTATTGAAAGGTCTTAAAATAACTACAGTCCTTTTGTGTAAAGCTGTTTCCTCTTGCTGGACTATAAGTTAAGAGCAAATTTTGCTGCTCTTCTTCCCACCCCTGCGAGCAAAAAGCTAGTAGGGGATACACAGATGCAAGATACAAGATGATCTTGCCTGGAACCGCAAACAAGAAGCTTTGTAGTATCATTTGTTATCCCTGTTGGAAACTGATCTAATTTCCATTTTTTAAATTAATCTAATACTCCATATTCTGAGATAAGAAGTGACAGTATTTGCTAGAGAAAGCTAGCAGTCTCAGTTGCATGAGGAAGAAACATAAATTTACAAATCCATGCCTGCTATAAGTTGTTGACATACAGACCATTATCTAAGCATCATTACCGAAAAGGGCTCGCTTATTTTGAAAATCGGCATCGTTGAGTTCCTCTTCATCGTCTCTCAGTACTTATCTGGAGAAGCATGTAATGAGTTTAAGATTACTGCAAGGCTCTTCCTAGTAGGGCCTTGGAAAATCTATCCATCTGAAACAAAAGTGCTTTTAAGCCCACCTCTACACTGAACTCCTCCCTGTGCATCAAACCATTGCACTAGGGCAACAAATTCTGATAATTCCTCTTACAGTGTTGGTGGATTTCAATGGCTCAATCCATGCTACCTACATCTCCCTTTTTTTTTTTTTTTTTAAAGAAAGTCCCACAATTCCATTAATACAAAAAGCAATACTCTCCAAATTATTTTAATGTTCCCTTTTTCCATTAATATTACTTATGCTACAAAAGTATTTTATCTTGGTATCTGGCAAACATACACAGGAGGCACAGAACAGTACCTGGTGCAGAAGTTATTTTTTACCTTCCCCCAGCTCTTTTCATGAAACTCAGCCTCTCCCTATAAGCAAGGGGAAGAAGATAGACCATCACTTCTTCAAGGTTTAAATTTCCTTCTTTATAATGGTATGCTTTAAGCTATAATTAGCACATTTGATCCTCTTTTAAACAAAAACTAGAATGTTTAAAGATTTTTATATTATCAAAAGGAAGAGAAGACTGGGAGACATTGATTTCATTCATTATTTATCTGAGATCTGTCCTTCTCCCTGAATTAACTAGTTGTAAATCAGTTTTGTAATTCAATGTAAAAGTAGCTAAGTACGTAATGACTGAACAACATGCTTGAGTAAGTAACCTCACGAGAAGCTAGACACTAACATACATAGGTCTGCCTTCTGTCTAGACAGATTCATGGCTCCAGAGCCTGTTGCTGAAGTGTGATCTCATGGGCTTACCATAGGTATGAAACTGAAGAGATGTATATCTCTAACGCAAGTCCAAAGTATAATGCTATTCGCAAAAAAATGAAATAAAAATTGCATTACATAAAAATTATGTTGGGCTGCCCTCCATTATCACTGAACAAGTTCAAGCTATTTAAGTTTAGACTGTCAATTACTGTTGGAGAAAGGATGCATTATCTCCAAGAGGAGTTACCTAAAGCTTGAGGAATGATGTGAAACATCGTCTGTGTAAATGGAACATGGAGCTTTTATAATGGAAAAATACTTTCTTGGTAATCTACAGCAGAAAATGGCTTTTTTCCTGTAGGGAAAGGAAAAGAACATTACTAACAATGCACTTCCTTTTAGAAATGGATTTGACCTGTCACAAATGGAGATATAGAAAATCTGGCCTTCAACCCCAGGTGAATTTGGAGGAGAATGCTAACTTTTGAATTCAGATGCTTGGCTCCAGATTCATCCCCATGGTTTGGGTTCTATTTTGATATCTCAAAGGGTTCTATTTTCTGATCTGGACTGAAATATGACAACTTGTATTTCCTTAGCAATGCAGAAATTTATGAGTTGATGAGGGTCTTGAAGGAGCAGGTGATCACTATACAATTCTTACCATTTGAACTCCTCAATTATGGACAAAAATCTTACAAGAAAAATTATGGTAATGATACCATTGATCTTTAGTCCTGTTCTTGGTTTCCCAAAGTATTAACCTGGTCTTTAGTGGTTGTGATTTTAAGCACTGCTTCCTCAATTCAGCTACAGTTACATCACTCAGTGGCATGATAAGAATTTTTTGGATTTAATGTTTTTTAGTCGATCAGCCACTAGATGGCACTTAAAGTTTGCTTTCTTTTCCACTTTTTTTCCAGTGGTATTTTTCAAAGATCTTCATGTATAATTAAGAGTTGATGACTCCCATTGGGACTATGTTGGCGGAAAGCAAGATGCAGCAATATTTGAGTGAAAGCAGGCAAAAGTATAACCATTAAAGGGGGAACAATGACTATAATTTAAGTAAGATTTGGGTGGTTGCAGTGTTTGCATAATCCCTCCTGGCATGCAAGAGCAATAGAGAAGCCTGTGGCTTTGCTCTCCTGCTGTGTTTCAACAAAAATGGAAAATTGTAATGAACAGCAACATTTTTCCTATCTTTCATATTCACTCTCTTCTTACTCCCCCTTCCTCCATTCCTTTAAGTGGAATGCAGTCTACTTAAGGATTGCATTGTAATGAAAGTAGTGTATAGCTTGGTAAACCCTGCATTGGATTCTCCAAATCAGATACCTCTTGCTGCAAGTTCAGGACATAAATTAAAACTTAATATGTGTTAACCCAGTAAAGGCAGGTGACACATAGTAGCCTGAATTATGTTAAATTTTATTAAGATTCCCTAGTTTCTGTATTGGTTGCTACTCCTGTAATAGTGCAGTCTGGTGCTCCTGTATTTGTTCTCCCCTTCTTCTGATTTTATTTTTAAAATAACTATCATTGTATTTTGGCTTAAAGATGGTTAAATAAGTTTCGATATTAAGTAAACTTCTATGACCCTGCCTATTTCCTGTCCTGTCAAACCTTTCCTTGTAAGAATAACAGTGTCCTTTTATTTGGTGGAGTGTAGCATGATGTTTTTGGCAGGCCCAACATTTTTGACTTGCATAAATTTGTGACCTCAAGTGCAAGAAAAGTGAATGCTTGCTTCAGTGCCTCATGGTTTCTGCCTAAAAAGAAAAGTGTCCACATTGCTAACCATTACAATTTCTGAAGGAAAATTATCTGCACACTTATTCCACCTGATTGCACATGACTGCACTTCCAAAGAAAAGAACCAGAAATAAAAATAAGTATTTTGCACCTAGTTATGTAAGGTACCAAAAGTCTGAAAATATAGGGCAGACTGTACTGCCTTACTGGTTTCTAGAATTGGCACACATGGCACTTCCCTCACTAACAGCAGTTTGGCAATCTCTACCTCAGTAAGTATGTGATTCTGCAAAGTGTAAATTTGGGTCTGCTGCTGGGCAAAGAATCTCTTTGCATGGTTAAAGGCTTCAGGATCAGGTCTGAAGTGAATTAACGTAATTATTTTCCTAAACTTTCTCTCCTTTAACTGTGTGGTTATTTAGCTCCTTACCACTGAAGTGATGTTTTTCCCCTACTCTGTTAGAACATAGCAAGAAAACCTTTGACCCTGCCAAGTCCGAAAACCTGACAGATTAATTTTATAATTTTAGAGCCCTTATCCAGAAAGTAACTACTGTATTTTAATATGTAAAATATGCTTAAATAAACGTAAGTGAGCTGTATATGCATACCTACTTGTTTCCCCTTAGACTTTGATGTTTTTTTCGTTATGTTACAAAAATGTAAT